CAGTCCCCCAACAGCCTGCGCACCCCTTGGTAACCCGGGCGACGACCGAACCGGTATAATTTTCGTTGACGTCATTGCCATGAATGGCAGGTAGCGAACTTTTTCAGAGGCTCTGCCACAGTCTCCAACGCTCCTCCTTTCTCAACCGGACTTTGGGCCAGCAGCGGTGGAGTTGGTTGATATTCATAATATTAATATTCTTATTTGTTACCTCCTGAAACTCACAGGCTGTTCATACGCTTGAATATGTTAAATTGCGAATGTCTCTTTCAGGACCAGACTTCACACCGTTTTGTTCCGCTACCTTGCTGAATGCTGTAGTTTTTCGCCCGCAGCAATATTATGTGATTGGAAGCATGCTGTCACCGATCACTGACAGTCTCTCGCCAGACGTTCACTTGCTAGCTGTAGCTGTATTAGTATTTAGCACGGTATAGTATAAGACCAGATTTACTATACAAACCTCTTAATAATTTGGCTTGGTGGCACATTACGTAAGATGTCGGATTTGAACTCCGGAAGTTCTGAGTTTGATTCCAGCGGACGGCAGTCTTTGTCTTAATCACGAATACCTATGAGCATGGAATTTACCACATCATGCTTCAGACCAAGGTTTCTCAGTGGGTGGAACGTCTTACAGAGAACTGAGGGGTCCTGGTTTCAACCCCCGTGGGTCACTCGTTTTTCCTTTTAACAAGACTGATTAATCAGTAACATTCGATGAATGAATATGGAGGCTGCTTGTCACAAGCAGCCGCCGGTTTGCGTTTAAATATAAGACAATAACTTCGTGAAAAGAAGGGCGCCAGATAGTTCAGTCATTAGAGTGTAAGGAAGTCTTGCATTCCATCGGTTACAAGGTTTCCTTATGTTCCTTTTCTTGATTGTTGTCATCATCACGTTGATTATTCTGCAATTGGCAGATTTTTCCTGCTTGAAGTGTCCGTTGTATTTTCATCTTGTAAAATTAATGCTCTAAGGAAGTGCTTGCAGCACCTTAGTAGAAAGTTTCCTCTCTGAAGCAGATTCGTCATCATTTCATTCATTTATATTGCATATTTTCCTTGTTATCTACGCTTTTCTGTTTCGGTTTCAGCGTGATAAGCTGGCTGTTTGAACTCTCGAGAATGTACTGAACCAGTCAGAGTGCTAACCGCATCTTTCTCATCTGCAGTTTCATGGGCGTTAACTGATGTCCAGAAAATGGTACATCCTTTTTGTATGATCCTCCCAGTCCATCGTCATGATATGTGAAAGCTGGTGTTTCTTTCCGTTGGTCAACCGTTTTTTACTTTACAAATGAAGTCTCTTGTCGGGGCAGGGTAGGAACATTTTACAAAAGGAATATTTTTTTATCGTCCTAAATATTAGATAGGCCACCGAAAGTGATGAAATCAGGGCGATATTCTGTATTGTTTTGTTTAGCTCATACTGACGCTGGAGAAGATGGGGCCGAGGGATTTGAGCGGATATGCCTTCTCTGCTATGTCACGTTTCTGTTATACACGTAAGTCATTGTGCTGGAAAAATATTTATCGTTTTTGAGTTTTAAGAAAGCGACCAGTTTCTCAGCTGAACTGCTTGACGGCGAATCCTTTTTTTCCATAATACTTTGGTCCAGTTTAATGTAATCTGCGTAAATTTGGTTCTGACGTAGGCGTATTTTCATCATCCGCATTGTTGTCGTAGGGTAAATCTTTTCGGCAAAATTCGTTCTTACTGGAACCATTTTCTCTAACATGACTATGAGATTATCTCAGAGCTGGCTCATATTTTTTCCGTTGTGAGGTCATCAACTCCCTGATATTTTTGCCAAGTTAAGTGTCGTTTGGAGCACTAAGGATGATTGTTTAGCTAATGACGCGGTAAAGTTGCATTTAGATTACGCAGTTTGTCGTATTTATGGTAGTTGTTTTTCGCTAGTTTTTGTTTATTGATAGGGAACCAGGAAGCAGCTGGGCTCTCGAACAGGCGAAAAATAATCTTCTCCAGAAATACTTGCTCGTCGGCACTACAAAGTGGATGGATGATTTTGTGAAAATTTTGGAAATCGTTCTTCCGCGGATTTTTACCGGGTGCCTTCACAAGTATTTGACTGGTAAAGCTTGTGTCCTTAGTTTCTGTGTATCGTTATTTTGTGTCGCGACGGAAATTTTGGCATCGAACCATGCAGACAGCCGTTAACAAGACCCCTCACTTGACAATCGAAAGTTGGAACAGTCGGTTGCACGTCCCCTTTAAATATATTCAAGCTGCTGACCCAAAAGAAACCATTTGTGGCTCATAGTTGATCATGGGGGTGCGGATTTTTTCTGCCATTCCCATTCATCCTTATTCGGTTAACTTGGGAAAAATCGATCAGCACTGGTTTCGTGGTTTTTCGGTGTGGCATGAAGTCCGTAATTATTTGTGACCAATTCTGCGCTAACCTCCGGTGCTTTGGAATGCGAAGCATCGGAAATGGTAAATCTAGAGTGCAGTTGTTAAGGAGTTCCTGTAAATGAGCAGTCTATAGTTTTAAGCGATTTTTTATGTGATAACGACTCGTTCTTTGTATCTTTAATGAGCATGATGCGAGACCCTTATTATATACTATTGCTGTTAGTACGGATTGGATTTACGTCGTTGCTAGTTGGTTGATGAATCAAACCAAACTTGTCAAAATCTATACGGCATGGATATAGTGAAGCGATAACATCTCATATACTAGTAGTTTATTAAGTTAAAAATAAGCTTTGTGTACTCCAAAAACTCCACTTCAGTTGAGAATGTGATTATTAGCCAGTTTCTCTGTGTCGTTATTTCAGTTTCTTTTATGTGAGGGCTGTTCTCTGCCTGCCATTGAGTGAGACAAAGAGTTAATCATCCTTCAGCTTTATTATTCTTTGTTAATTTTACGTGAGCAACAATTCTAATGCACTCATTCGTTTGTTTTTACACTTCTAGTCGAAGCTGGTTTAGGTGATAAGTCGCATCTCAGGAAAACGACGATGAAAATCAAGCCGCAAGTCGATACGGTGTTAAAAATACGCAAGTCGAAAGTGTGGCAGATGGAGCATGAGTTCTACGTGTTTGCGAGAGATCATTTTAATTCCGTTAAGCGCCATTACACGCAGGTGGTTAGCGATGGAGCCGACGGGATCAAAGCTCAACAGAAGTTCCACTACGAGAAGATACGACCGCGATAGCCAACGTGTGCAATTGTGTCGACATTGACGTTCGCCCTAATCCTTAACATTGTTCTTTGAATTGTGTTTGCTGCTGTTTGTAAATTGGGGTATTTAGTACAATTTTTATGCACTGTCGATCGTTTGCTTGCCTGCCATTGCTTTTGTTTCATCGCATTTCGTGTCCGTTATTCGTTGACTGCAAACTGTCGGTGTCGCTTGTAGAAACAATAACTTTTGCGGAGATCGAAGATCTTATGTTGTTAATTGACTTTGTATTGATGTTTAATCAGTCTGTTTGATTTTTAAATATGCGCGCAAGCAATTCCCGTTTGCTGTATTATGGCACTATGATACATACGATTGCTGAGGAATTCAAAACGCTGCCACGCGCGAGCATAATTTAGTTTCATTTTTTTGCTTACGTAACCACAGGTAATTTTCCATTTCTGAGGATCGCCGTGTATAAAAAATGATACTTCGCAATGCTGAAAAACCCGCAGAGCAGATGCTCTAGCTGACTAGCGCTTCCATAACATGTTCCATCTATCGAATCCGAAGTTTGACCTTGTGCGGTTGGTTACCTTTGTTCTGTTATCCTCGTAAAGTTTTTTACGTTATTTAACGCAGTCTGGCAGAAACTTTGTCGAACCTTAAAGGGGTGAGTGTTCATGAAACATACTTAGACGCTGAATATTCGTGTGTTTAGCGTTGACGGTTCTTCGATGAAGCGATTGGTAAATAATGTAGTAGTTTATGCAAATGGTATCTCATGGTTAGCCTCTTTGTTTGTATTGTACTTTTGCTGTATTTTCGCTGCTACTGCGGAGTAATAACGAGATATGCAAACGCAGTGTCTCACTTTAGGTTCGAATTAAAATGTTATTTTCTGTCCCTTAGACTACAGACTACATAATGCTTTATTACGTTCTGTTCGTCATAGCATATGCTCCTTTGAAGCCGTTACACTCTCCTTCCTGTCGGTTTTGGCTAACGCAGTTTTGTCATGAAAAAGTTTGTCAGCATTCGTTTGCAACTGGAGACATTTCGGAGATTCAAAGTTACAACTAACAAGTCGCTAGTCGTTACGCTCGAGTAAAATCAGATGTTCTATGATTTGAAGGCCTCCTTTCGATATAGACCGCTGATAGATCGACATGTAACGTTACATCTTAATACAGTCTATTGAAGGGGTTGTTTACCGTATCGTGACACTCATTTTCCAATGCTTTATTCTAGACAATTTTTTCGGCGTGCAAGTCTCGAGTCGCCGGGGATTATGAATTTCAAAGATACAGTCAATAGCAACAAAATGGATTGCAGATCAGTATAATAGACCACTAGTAAGAGTAGAACAGGTAAGGAGACTGACGTAATTTAAGCAAATCAAGTTTTTCACGCCAAAATATTGCATTCTTTGGGAAGAATTTCACTTCCATTCAAATATAGAATATTTTTTGAATCGAATTTTGCTTTCTAGCGTTTCATGGTAATAAGTAATGTTTTTAAAATAGCAGATGGCATTTACTTTTTTTCCACGAATCTTCGAAGTCAGACGATAGTCTTGTAATATGACGATTATCACGTAGTTTATTACTTAACAGGGAAGCCGGAAGACCGAACAAAATGTTTCGTCGAAATTTGACAGATGTATATGAATTGTCAACTGGTTGCATGGTTGCTCTACAAAAATATTTTCAGTGCATTAGTGATTCAAAAATTGCAAAAGCGTCTTGCTTGCAGAATGAGCCGCCTCAATATACATATATACATGATTTGGAGGGATCTGGAAATGGGAACTTATCATTTTGTAAAAGAACTCCATGCCATGCAGAAACTTCTGCTTGGTGCTGATTTTTAGTCAGTTAACAAGCGGGTCTTGTCCAATTGCATCCGCAGGTCGCACGCGATAGCCGACGCCGCTTTAAATCTTGCATACTGCGCTGTTTTACACCAGAATTCCAGGCCTCTCCCACTGCTCATATACCAGCTACCAGTTTCTCAGTTGGTTGCACTGAAGCGTAGAGCGGAGACTCTATGTCCAATTTGCAGAATTGCAGTGTATAACAAATTTACTCAACTCCGGCATTGCCGGTCCCAAGCCCGGAT